AGAGGAACCTGATATTTTCACAGATTAGAGTTTCAGCAAATATGACAAAAAAATTTTTTTATTAAAATTACCTACTTGCTATCTACCAGCAGGACAGGAAGTTTCTGTAATAGGGCCCCCAATGTATTTGTGCCTAACCTTAACTGTCCCTTTTCCTTCAGTTTTGTCTCAGGTATGGTGAGCCTATACTACCAGTCAGACCATGATGTGCAGGAGGACCTAGAGCTCCAAGCCTGGATAAGAGACATAACACAGGAAGGCTACACAGAGCTCCCCAACTTTGGTCAGTTATTAATATCTTGCATGTTTTCCCTAACACTTAACATCCAGGTGAAAAGCACACCTGCTCTTTCTTACAAATATCTTCAGCCTTTATTTTACAGTTTAAAATTTAGACTACTATGCATGCTGTGTTATGTGAGAACATTTAAATATTGGACAGGACTCTTTTACAAGGTACTTTACAACTGCATGCAAAAGTGAGTCTCAATATGTATTAACAATAGCATGTGTGGAAATTATTAGCTTAGCATGCTTTTGCCACAACAAAACAATATCGGCTCTTGGGCCACTCGTCATAAAAAAAAGGTGAATATTTCTCCAAACTATACACTCCTGTATTGTAACATTTCTAGTTGCCATGACAGACCTAGACCTAAACAGTTTGGACACATACTGCTCCATCTAATTACTGTAATTCACTGGAAAACCCCATTGCTCCCAAGGAGATGGTCTAAAGGTGTAAGAAAATATCAATTCACCTGAGTAATGCAATATTTTGAGACAGATCATCTGTGGAAAAATCAGGTTCCTCTGGCTCCTCCTAGTGCTCCTAGTGGTATTTGCAAGAATCTACCAGGACTGAACAAAAACAACAGACCCAAGAAAGATAGTTTTATTTTTTTTTCTTACCTTTAATTGATATGACAGCTGAAGAGTGATAGGAAACGGGGAGAGAAAGGGGATGACACACAGTAAAGGGCGTGAGACACAACAGTCAACTATCTTCTGGGTGGCTGTGGCTTGATGTAGAGTCCACTAGTCAGAGGGTTGGCAGTTCGATGCATTTCGAAGTGTCCTTGAGCAAATTGCTCCCGATGCTATGTATCGTGTATGAGTGTGTGTGAATGATTAGTTTCAGTTCTGGTGAGCAGTTGGCATCTTGCATGGCAGCCACTGCCATCAGTGTGTGAATGTGTGTGAATGGGGTGATTGTGGCATGTAGTGTACAGCGCATTGAGCGGTTGAAAGATAAGTACAGTCCATTTACTATTTACTATCTTCAAGCCTCTAACCCAAAAAATATTTCTTGGCTCTGATTGGTTGTTTTCGTTCATTCTTACACCATTAGGAGCACTAGGAAGAACCAGAGGAACTTGATTGTTTCACAGATTATCTGTCTCATGTAATACTGTCAGGATATAGTTTCAGCTAATATGACAACTTAAAAAAAAAAAGTAAATGACCTACATTAGAGGGTTTATTGACATAAAGTGCTGTCACAGGCAGAAGAAGTGAGTAGTATTTGTTTATCTAATACCTGCTGGTGGATGTGTGTTCAGGTCTGCCCAGTAAGCTCAACACCAGAGAGGAACTCTCCACCCTGGTGTCAGTGGCAATCTTCACCAGTACAGCCCAGCATGCAGCTACCAACAATGGACAGGTGCTGACACACACACCTACACCTACACACACACACACACACACAAACACACTGTGACCTTTACAGTCGTCAGTTCAGGCCTGCCACAAGTTGACATCCTACCGAGACTCTCTCTCTGTTGGTGTTTGTCCAGTTTGACTGGTGTGCCTGGGTCCCCAACACCCCCTGCACCATGAGACACCCCCCACCAACAGACAAAGATGCTGTTACCATGGAGATGGTCATGGCCACACTTCCTGATGTCAGCCAGTCCTGTCTGCAGATGGCTATCACATGGCATCTGGGACGAGCACAGCCAGACGCAGTGAGTCCATCTCTGTCTGCTCTATTATACATCAAATGAGGACTTTCATTTTAATAAGCTAAAAGGTTGAGTCAGGTTGACTCAAATAGCAGTAACATTATATTATCTCACTTCCCTCTAGTAGTATTTGTTCAAGCAGTTAGATTTCATGTGTCCCAGTTTTCAGACATCTGAATCTACATCTACATAACAATGGAGGTGAATGGACTTTTATCATTGGAGCTCACTGTAATAAAAAATATACTGAAAACAATTCCCCAGTGGTGTGTCCTTCCAGGAACAAGGTTCCTGTTTGTACTTTAGATAATCCACAGGACACACTGTTTCTGTTTTCATAGGGACTACACTATAAGAAATGTCTGCAGATTCTAAAATAAAAAACCATGACAGTAAAAGACTGTAAACTCTAAATAGGTTAACATTTCTGTAACAGTAAAATACCATTTTATCTCATGGAAAAAGCTTTATTTATACAGGATGATAAATAATGTCTGATTAATTTTTATTCCAAGTTGTTTCAGTGATGTTTGACAGAAACATTCCAATTGTCCCACAGTCAATCTGTGGAGCTGTTTATTAGTTCCTCTTTACTCAGAAGCTTCCTGTTTTCTTTTGCCTAGATTCCTTTGGGCCAATACACACAGGAGCACTTCACTGAGGGCGAGGCCCTGGAGTTGATCGAGAGGTTCAGAAGAGAACTGAAAGACATTGAGGGCCATATCCTCAATCAGAATGAAGGACTAGAGCTTCCGTACCTTTTCCTCCTGCCCAGCCGCATAGAGAACAGCATCACCATATAGAAAGCCTAACTACAGGATTCACTATGGGTTATGTGGTAGTATGGCGCATACCTCCCAGATTCACTTTTTCTCTGTTGATCGTGTAACAAAATTCTAATGTTGTAAAAAAAAATAAGAGAGAATATAGCTTTTTGTAATGTGAAAAATGTTATCCATGAGACAATTTATGATTTGTGTTTGTAATGAAAAGTAGGGGATGATTAAAAATACTGAGATGTTAAGTCAACGTTGAGTATGTAAGTCATACATTTTGACTCTATAAGTTGAACATATGCGATGCCAAGTCATTGTTTTGAGATAGTAAATCAATATGTCAAAAGTCAGGGGTGCACTAGTGGTCTAGGGGTTCAATGGAATGTCCACCAGGAGCAGTTTGGCTACATCACAGCCACACCAATGTTAACTGAATGTGGTCGTGTAAAGTGTGCATGCATTGGAACCAATACATTTAAGGTTTATTTATTGATTTTTACTGAATTACAAGCATAACTGAACCATGAAATACACACAGTGTAAGGCTTTAGGCATAGAAGTGCTTGTCTCTGAAAGCATAAAAACAGGTGGTCTACTGGGAAGGGGTCAAAGGTCATCAACCAAGAGGCTGGAGATCAACAGTGACAGAATATGCTGTTTATACTTATTAAATGTGGAATATTGTCATATTCTGAATAATAGTGGACTAGCGATTGACATTAGCTTTCAAATGGTAAATGGACCTGTACTTGTATAGTACCTTTCTAGTCTTCCAACCACTCAAAGCGCTTTTACACTACATGCCACATTCACCCTTTCACTCAGCAATGGCAAAGTCCATCCAACAGAAACACTAACCATTCATACACATTCACACACATTCACACCACCAAATGCACAGCATCAGGAGCAAATTTGGGGTTCATTATCTTGCTTCACAGGATACTTCGACATGTGACGGTAACACCAGGGATCGATCCAACAACTTTCCGATTAGAGGACGACTCACTCTGCCTCTGAGCCACAGCCGCCCACCAGATGTCACCAGCTTCTAAACAAATGATGTAGATTAGCTAGCTAGCATTTTGCCAACCAAGGTTCTGACTAAGGCTTGCTCAACTTTTACTGGAGCACAAAGCCAAAAAGGGGCAGGACTTAGGAAGAGTCAACTGATGAAAGCCATGAAGGCCTAGCACATATGTTGGGTTAACATAATTTTGTCAAACTAAACTTGGGTTGCTTCTTTCCTTCAGTGTGTCTTCTTTTATTTTATTATAGTGCACATATTTTATGTATATATATTTAACACTTAACTATTGAAATTAAATTGTGATTACAGCAACAGATTTTGATACATTAAAAAACTGAAAGGTGATCTGTCAGTTTTGAAATTCAAAGATCCCCTCCAGACATTTATTTAGACACAATACAAATAGTCTGCTTGGAACAATAATGTGTGTCTGATGTGTTTATTCTGCAAGAAAGGTATAATTTCCACATTCAAATCCTTACAAAGCCATTCTACTCCTTCTACCTTATTAAAAACTTCC